ACTGGCAGGCCAAGGCATCTCTGAGTTAGGTGCCTAGCTGTCTGGGCGAGCTGTCCCATTTCACACCTCGGAAGAGATAAGACAAGCTTTCTTCTAAGTTGAGAGAGATTCCAACCTAAAAAAAACCTAACTCAGCATAGGTGACAGAATCAGATAACCTGTTAAAACCATTTTTCCCCTATGTCTCATATCTTGGAATATGAGAGACTTACATAAAAACCGAGCATATCGCCAGATGGGCTAAGAGGAGTCAATCATTTTGGTGGGTCACTCGCCTTGTGTGGAAACAGTCCTTAGAAACAAGCGGTGCATATTTTATTTTATATATATATATATATATATATAGATATATAGAGAGAGAGAGAGAGAGAGAGAGAGAGAGAGAGAGCGAGAGAGATAGGAGAGAGAGAGAGAGAGAGAGAGAGAGAGAGATAGCAACAGCTCCTTCCTTTTTTCTACTTTCTATTTTATCTTTGCTTGCAATCATGCCTGGTGCAGCAGAATACAAGTAAAGGAGCAAAAGTGATTTGAGTGCGGAATGTGCCTCACGGGGATGGGACGTCGGTCGCAAAAACCGTGAAGATTTGATTAGTGATCTAGTGGAGTATGATAGCCGAGCAGATAAGAACTCGGGGGAACTTGAACATGACGGGGTTCCCACTACATACATTCCTAGTGGCTCAGAGACGGCCTCGCAGGATGGGCATACAGAAACTGACACTGGAGGATCACCGAATGGTATCGTCACACCACCGCCTGAGCGGGCCAGCACCGGAGTGCCTGTAACCAGCAGAGACTCTCCTCAGATGCAGGAAGTCCTGAAACGCCTCATGGAGATGGGATCCTATGGCATACTTGCAGTTCCTTGAACGCCAAGCAGCAGCTGACAGAGAGGAACGCCAAGCAGGGGCTGACAGAGAAGCTGCGGAACCCCAGACTGAGAGAGAGGCGGTGCAGAGGGAAGCTGATCGTCGGCACGAGCTGGAGATGGCAAGGTTCCAGCTCCAGCGACAGGTGCCGAACCCCGGGTCCCTAGAGCACAGGGACGCCACTCTGGCCGTGGGCGCCGTCAAGTTTCCAGTGATGGAAAAAGATAGTGACATTGACATGTACTTACTGTCATTTGAAAAAACGTGCTGTCAGTACCATGTGCCCCAAACACAATGGGCTCGGTACCTGACACCAGGGCTACGAGGCAAGGCCCTGGACGCGTTTGTTGAATTGCCAGAGGGGCAAGACGATGATTACGAAGTTTTAAAAGATGCCATCATCCGGAAGTACCAGATGAGCCCGGACGTGTACCACAAGCGGTTCAGGTCCATGCAGAAGGGACCTGGGGACTCTTACACGAATGTGGCGAGTCGCTTACGCACCACATTCCGATAGTGGACTAAGGGACTGAAAGCTGACTCCTACGAGTCTTTGGAAGATCTCATGATACGAGATCAACTTTTGCACATTTGCCCGGCAGACGTCAGACAGTATGTCTTGGAGAGAGAGCCAGCATCTACTAAAGCTACAGCCGATTTGGCCGATACCTTCGTCCAGACACAAGTGTCTGACCATCGCAAGGCTCCTCCGAATGGCTGGAAGGGGAGGAAATCGCCCCTAGCAACCTCTCCTACGCCGGTGAGTCAAGATTCCCCTCCGCCCACACCTGAAGCACCTGGGGCCAAGCCATTCCAGCCTGACAACCGCAGATGTTTCACCTGTGGGAAAGCCGGACATCTCAGGACGCAGTGTCCTGAGCAGAAGCAGACGACATCATCTGGCCAGCCAGCCAGCCAGCAACTCTTCTTCCGTGCTGTTTGTCCTAAGGAAGATGCGGGTAACCCCCACCAACTTGCAGCCAGTCACTGTGCGCAACCAGTCTGTAACTGGTTTCCGGGACACCGGGGTAGAAGTCACCTTGATCCGGCCAGACGAGATTGAGCAAAGGAACCTCATCCCAGGAAAGTTCCTTTCCCTCACAGGAGTTGGGGGGACCCATTCACGCATACCCTGTGCAAAGGTGTTCCTTGATTGGGGTGCGGGAAGGGGGATGAGGGAGGTGGGTGTCTCGGAGGAAATTCCCACACCTGTTTTGTTGGGTGCTGATCTAGGCACTCTTGTTTCTTATTATGCCCCTGCCAAGAATACCTGGAAGGGCCCCCTGGAACTCTCGGGACATGCCAAGGTACTGTGTGCAGATATTGGGGTAATGTCTGAGCAACCTGTGGATGGACAGCGGGAGGGGGCTGGGAATGGAGTGGGGCTGCAGGACTCTCCATTAGCTGGAGAACGAGAAGAAACCCTAGGCACTCGTTTCCTGGGGAGGTATTGTTTCTGGGGAGGTATTGTTACCTGGGGAGGTATTCAACTCATGTGTCATTGATATTATCAACGTGACTGTTGATAATGATAATGATGACTTTGAGGGATGTGATAATGTCAGTAATGTTGTGCTCGATAAGTGCCCAGCCAGCCTGCATAAGTGCCCAGCCATTAACCTTGCATGGTACATATTATAGCAATGATATTAGCTCTATGGAATTTTACTTTCTGTTCTTCAATATTTTTTATTGAAAAATATTCAATAAGTTCCAAGTCTAAAGGTAGGAGAATCCCCCAACAGTACATAGAATGGACACAAATGAAATTATAACTAAATACTGTACTATCTGAAATGTTCTCATCGGTTAATAATCAGTGATAGAATAATTTATCCATTTGTAGCAAGAGGCAAGCCATTACACTACTCTCAGCAGTGGAAGTAGTGTCAGACTAAGAAAAAAGAGAGGCAAATGCAAGGAAGGGAAGAAGGAAGAGGAGCGGAAAAGTGTAGAATATCACGGAGTAAGTGGGAAAGTATCAGATTGCATATATAAAACAATAGATGAGTGTATGCATCTGGCCCTGTTTGGTCTAAGAGATGAAAATTATGGGGCTTGAAAGTGGGGTTGGAAGATTTACATCAGGAGAGCTTAATGCATCTGGGATCTGATAACCACAGAAACCAGTGTTCAGTAAATTTGTCTCCTGTCAAATGTGACTTAGCAAATAGAGATTCCATTCGACAATGGTCATTAAGTATAGATATGACAAATGTGAGTGGCAGTGGAAGAGGGTTAGTCGTGCTGCAATTAAGATGTGTCTGATAATAGGGAAAAAAAATTTAGTAGGCCAGAAAAAAGAATCGAGACCAAAGAGAGCCATTTGCGGGGCTAACAGGTGCGAAACATGAGTAGAATAAAACATTAAGGAGGATACGTTCCTTCAAAAAGGCGCAATGACTAGGCATTCCTACAAGATATATCTCTCTGGTGTGTAGTACAATTTATAATAAATTTTCATGGGTGCTTCACAATGTGTTAAATTTTTGGAAAAAATAGATGGGGTTCGAAGAGCTCATGCCAGACAACTGGGAGTGCCTAGATGTGCAAAGTTGTTTCCCAGTAGACCATATTTGTAGGCAGAGATGGGCTAGAAAGGCAATTATAGATGAATGAAATCCCCTTAGTTTTAGTGGATATCTGGGTACAGAAAAAAGGAAATCTTTGGATATGGTTGTCTTGGCAATGGATCTAGAAGAGAGGACATGACACTCTCAATTAAATGTAAAAGTCCTTACTGGGTATGTTGTATAAGGCTGAAAGTTGCTGAAAAGTGAGAAGATCTTTGGTGTTGGAACAAATCTCCAATCCTGTTGATTCCTGCCAAAGTCCAGTGTTGGAGTGGAAGGTCTGGAGAAAGGAGTAGTAAGGAGAGAAGTGGAAGTAGACTCAGAGCTTGCATATGGATTCCTTTAGAAATTTGTTGTATGGCTTTCCAAGTCATAACTGTAGCGTTGATTATAAGCAAAAAGGAGCAAGGTGAATGAAAGTTGCGCCAGGTTGTTGCCAGAAGTAGATGAAGAGCGTGAGAAATTGCAGTGGATTCTATTTGAAGCCACAAAGAAGTGGAATGTGGAGAACACCACTGCTTTGCCTAGTCTAATAATATGACCACTTTGTAGTATAGTTTGATGTTAGGGGTTCCAAAACCAGCAGAAACCCCTGGGTATACTTAATGAGGATGATTTCATTCTGGGTTTGCGAGCCACCCAGATGAAATGATTGAAGGAATTTTACTTTATAATGCCCATATTACAGGCATTACAACATCATATATATGCAGCAACTTACAGCAGAAGCCAAAGACACTACCAGTTTTGTTTGTTGAAGGAAACCTGGAACGCTAAGAAGAAAATCACAGAAACAGCAAATAATTATTAAGCATGACAGTGTCCTCAGTGGGCATTGAACTCGGCCCTGCAAGGCAACAGCCTAACCTTTAAAGACTTGAGGTATTCTAAGAATGTATGGTCTTTATTATTTATCACAAATGAAAAAAGTACCGTATTTTCCGGCGTATAAGATAACTTTTTAACCCATGAAAATCTTCTGAAAAGTCGGGGGTCGTCTTATACGCCGGTATACGGCGAGCCGGTGTCAGGGTGGCACTTTTTCGGGAGGCAGGCGCGGTGCTGCCCCCCCCTTCCAACGGAAGGGACACTAAGTACAGGAGCGGGCAGGGGGCTGCTGTTTCTTACCTGGCTCCGGTCCCATGACGATCCAGTCCAGGAAGCGCGGCTGCTCCTTTATTCAGTTCGGCCGCTCGGCTCCGCCTCCTCACCAGTGATTGGGTGCCAGAACTGTAGCTCAGGAAAGGCACACAGGTGGCCAATCACCGGCGAGGAGGCGGAGCCCAGCGGCCCCGCAAAAATCGAGCGAGGGAGCGGCCGGTAAGTGTGCAGCAGCACCATGCTGGAACACTATTGGCACTATTCCTCCCCCCCCACTGACACCAACAATGGGGCACTACTTCTCCCCCACTGACACCAACGATGAGGCACTATTCCTCCTCCCCACTGACACCAACGATAGGGTACTATTCCTCCCCCACTGACATCAACGATGAGGCACTATTCCTCCCCCACTGACACCAACGATGAGGCACTATTCCTCCCCCCACTGACACCAATGATGGGGCACTATTCCACCCCCCACTGACACCAATGATGGGGCACTATTCCACCCCCCACTGACACCAATGATGGGGCACTATTCCACCCCCCACTGACACCAATGATGGAACACTATTCCTTCCCCCACTGACACAAATGATGGGGGCGCTATTCCCGCCACTGACACCAATGATGGGGCACTATTCCTGCCCCACTGATACCAATGATGGGGCACTATTCCTCGCCACTGATACCAATGATGGGGCGCAATTCCTGCCACTGATACCAAAGATGGGGTGCACTATTCCTCCCACTGACACCAATGATGGGACACTATTCCTCCCACTGACACCAATGATGGCGCACTATTCCTCTCACTGACACCAATGATGGGGCACGATTCTTCCCACTGACACCAATGATGGGGCACTATTCCTCCCACTGACACTAATGATGGGACACTATTCCTCACACACTGACACTAATGATGGGGCACCATCATTGGTGTCACTGGGAGGAATAGTGTCCCATCATTGGTATCAGTGGGAGGAATAGTGCCCCATCATTGGTATCAGTGGGAGGAATAGTGCCCCATCATTGGTGTCAGAGCGAGGAATTGTGCCCCATCATTGGTGTCAGTGGAAGGAATAGCACCCCATCATTGGAATACCATACTGAAATACCCATACCGTATTGAAATCAAATCTGATGTTTTTTCATTTTTATTTGGTGTGCGTTGGAAGAGGGGTAGTCTTATACGGCGAGTATAGCCCAAACCCTATATTTTAACAGGAAAAGTAGGGGGTCGTCTTATACGCCGGAAAATACGGTAATAAAATATTTATAACTATGAGTGATACCTTTAGGGTAGCTTATTTAATCAGGTGAAGCTCCACTGACTTCCATCATTCAATCAAGTGCAATCAAATATTCATTTTTTTTTTATTTCTCTTGTACGTGATTGGGTATTCTTTACAAAGTGAAATTGCACCATATTCTCTAAGCTCTGGGGAGGATTCCCTTGAAAGGGCAGTGTAGCAGTGTACAATTTGTATAGGGCATGTGTTTATTTTTTTATATACACTACTCAAAACATTTAATTAATACTTTTTAATAAGAGTATAGCATTAAGTCAGTTAAACTCCTGGGATATTGATCTGGTCAGTTAAGTAGCAGAGGGGGTTGATAATTAGTTTCAGCTGCTTTGGTGTTAATGAAATCAACAACATGTGCACTAGATGGGCAACAATGAGATGACCCCCCAAAACAGGAATGGTTTTACAGGTGGAGGCCACTGACATTCTTTCCCTACTCATCTTTTCTGACTGTTTTTCACTATTTTTGCATATGGCTAGGGTCAGTGTCACTACTGGTAGCACAAAATAATACCTGGACCCTACAGAGGTTGCACAGGCAGTCCAACTCCTCCAGGATGGCACATATTGATGCTTCATTGCCAGAAAGTTTGTCCCCCAGCCCAGTCTCAAGAGCATGGAGGAGATTCCAGGAGACAGCAGTTACTATAGGAGAGCTGGACAGGGCCATAGAAGGTCCTTAACCCATCATCAGGATCGGTATCTGCTCCTTTGTGCAAGGAGTAACAGGATGAGCACTGCCAGAGCCCTACAAATTGACCTCCAGCAGGTCACTGGTGTGAATGTCTCTGACTAAACAATCAGAAACAGACTGCATGATGGTAGCCTGAGGGCCTGATTTCCTCTAGTGGGCAACTAAAGGAGCAAAAGATCCACTCCAGGTGAGTGCCGAATCTGTATAGCAATCCACAGACACGCAGGAGCTGACCCTATCCGTGATCACAGATGCAATGGAAAAACAGAATTGTTGGCTGCACAAACAGCGATGTGGTGGATTAAATCCTTTATTGGAATCCTTTACATGCAATATGATAAAAACATGACAGCTCCAAGACTGAGCAGAGGAGCAGTAGACGCGTTTAACACGAACATGTCATTATTGATTTCTACTTGTCAGAGGAAGCTTTAAACAGAATAAAACAACTGATGACAATTGGCAATTAAACTTGAATCAGGAATAACATAGTATACAAATCACATGACACAACTTTAAAAACATGACACATATACTGACAGAAATGAAAACACACCTCTGATATGCGTCGTACCTGGGACAAATCACAGATATATGAAATTTGGAACTGGCATAATAGGCAGGGATACATAACACCCTTATTGCAAACAGGAAGGACGAAGAAAAAAAACAGCCCTAAATGTAATAAAGGAAAAAATAAAATCGACCCTACTCATAAGTTTTTTTCTCATTAGTGAGATCCCACTCGGCATTCAGCCCTAGAGGGATGTGTGTCTGCAAATGAAAAAAAAAAAAACTCCCGTTTGCACAGAACACGAAAGGTGTCACCCCCTCTACCAAAATTATATAGACATCTCATTAGGAGCATGCCTCGACATTGTCAGGCATGCATAGAAGCACATGGGGGCCATACAAACTACTGAGTACCATTATGAGTTTCTGCAATTAAATTTCGGGGTGTCTTTGAATTCAGTCCTCTGTAGGCTGATCATTTTCATTTCCATCAAACTATGGGGCATCCTTACGTTCCTAACACATTACCTAGTCTGTATCAGTATAGATATTCAGCATAGTATCTTTCCCCATTGAGATCTGATGTGTTTTCAAAGTGTTCCTTTAATTTTTTTGAGCAGTGTGTGTGTGTATATATATATATATATATATATATATATACACACACACACACACAGTTGTGTTCAAAATAATAGCAGTCAGACATCACTAACCTGATCAATCACTGTTTTTGGTAGAAATAATATTTCTACATGGCAAATAATTTACTAGCAGGTGTAGTAGAGTAATAGTAATCCAACAGACAAAACAGTCATGACATGCATGCTGCTGATTCTGTGTAATTGAATCACTAATTGAAAGGGTAAAGAGAAAACAGGTGGCGCACACACCTAGTGCATTATTCAAGGTTTATTGTAAAGAGTAAAAAAATAATAAAAACATACTCACAAACGAAGCATATATCTAAAAAGCATAGAAAAATGACGATGGCCACAACGGCAGGCAAGGTGTCCTCACTGTCAGTGCGGTGAAATGGCTGACGCATTTCGGGGACAAATCCCTTTCCTCAGAGCTAATGACCAGCCTGCTACCCTTCAGCAGCTCCGCCTCATGTAGATGTAACACCCGGAGATCTCAGAGAGGACTTCATCGATATCCGGTTCGGTTGTTTACTAATTGAAAAGGGCATGTTCAAAATAATAGCAGTGTGGAGTTCTATTAGTGAGGTCATTCATTCTTTGAAAAACAGGTGGCAAATATTGCCCTTATTTAAGGAAGGAAGGAAGGCAGCAAATGTTGTACATGCTGGTTACAGTGCATTTCTCTCTGAAATTCTGAGGAAAATGGGTCGTTCCAGACATTGTTCAGAAGAACAGCGTACCTAGATTAAAAAGTTGATTGGAGAGGGGAAAACATATAAAGAAGTGCAGAAAATGATAGGCTGCTCAGCTAAAATGATCGCAAATGCTTTAAAATGGCAACCAAAACCTGAAAGACGTGGAAGAAAGCGAAAAACTACCATTCGAATGGATAGAAGAATAGCCAAAATGGCAAGGACTCAGCCAGCAATCAGCTCCAGGAAGATCAAAGAAGGTCTAAAGTTACCTGTGAGTACTGTTACAATTAGAAGACGGCTATGTGAAGCCAAGCTATCTGCAAGAAGCCCCCGCAAAGTCCCACTGTTGAAAAAAAGACGTGCTGAAGAGGTTACAACTTGCCAAAGAGCACATTCACTGGCCTAAAGAGAAATGGCACAACATTTTGTGGACCGATGAAAGTAAGATTGTTCTTTTTGGGTCTAGTGGCCAGAGACAGTTTGTCAGACGACCCCCAAACACTGAATTCAAGCCACAGTACATTGTGAAGACAGTGAAGCATGGTTGCGCAAGCATCATGATATGGGGATGTTTCTCATACTACGATGTTGGGCCTATTTATCGCATACCAGGGATCATGGATCAGTTTGAATACATCAGAATACTTGAAGAGGTCATGCTGCCTTATGCTGAAGAGGAAATGCCCTTGAAATGGGTGTTCCAACAAGACAACGACTCCAAGCACACCAGTAAACGTGCAACATCTTGGTTCCAGACCAACAAGATTGACGTTATGGAGTGGCCAGCCCAATCCCCGGATTTTAATCCAATAGAAAGCTTGTGGGGTGACATCAAAAATGCAGTTTCTGAGGCAAAACCAAGACATAGAGAAGAACTGTGGAATGTAGTCCAATCATCCTGGGCTGGAATACCTCTTCACAGGTGCCAGAAGTTGGTTGACTCCATGCAACACAGATGTACAGCAGTTCTCAGAAACAGTGGTTATACAACCAAATATTAATTAAGTGATTCAAAGGAAAGCAAAATCTTCAAACATTTTTCAGTTTATATAGTGAATGTTTGAGTTTGTAAAGAAGAATACAAACACTGCAATTTTTTTTTGAACAGTCTAATATTCTCTTTTCTTCAAATTTTTTAGAGGAACAACACAAATTTGATATATTTTTCTTCATGTTTTGATTTGCAACAGAATGTGTAGTGTTCCCAATGCATTTGTGTGTATGGAAATAAAAGTTATTAGAAGCAGTTTGAGCTTTATTCACTCTTTTCAACACACTGCTATTATTTTGAACACAACTGTATATATATGTGTGTATATATATATATATATATATATATATATATATATATATATACACAGTGAAGGAAATAAGTATTTGATACCCTGCTGATTTTGAATGTTTGCCCACTCACAAAGAAATGATCAGTTTAAAAATCGAATGGTAGGTGTATTGTAACACTGAGAGGCAGAATAGCAACTAAAAATTCAAAAGAAATGCATGTCTAACAAATTATGCACTAATTTGCATGTTTATAAGGGAAATAAGTATTTGATCCCCTATCATTCAGCAGGATTTCTAGCTACCAGGTGTCTTTCATACAGGTAACAAGCTGAGAGTAGAAGCAGTCTCTTCAAGGGAGTGCTGCTAATCTCATTTTGTTACCTGTATAAAAGACATCTGTCCACAGGAGC